TAATTGTTGTATTGTGATTATATCAACTAGAAAACTAGTTCGACTATTTATTCGTTAGAATAATAATAATCTTGATAATAATAATAATAATAACCGAATTTCATTTGAAAATGTCATCCGGCTAAGCGTATATGTGTGAAGAAAAAAGCACTAGTTTTCCGATTGTTCTAACTCGTAAAATTTCGTCGAAAACCTCCGTAAAATAAATGTAAATTCCGTAAATTCCGTTTCGTAAATGTAAAATTTCCCAAAAATGTTTTATCGTTAGTTAAAAATTTCGTCCTTTATCTAAAAAACTTACAATTAGAATTTTTAAGATATCTGTATTGATGTGCCACTTGGAGACAGATATTTTAAAAAATATCCGATCCGCATTTATCTGCTGTCCGTTTGGAATTAAATGATTGAAGGATAAATTTTTCAGATTTTTGATAGATAGATAGATAGATGAATATACGAATGAATACATGATGAATGCGCATTAATAAATTTTCCACCAAACCATTAATTTATTTCACAAGCAAAAAAAATTGGATGAGATGAGATCAAATTAGATGACTGATCAGATCAAATCAGATCAGAGAAATGAAAAAATCCCATTAATAACGAATCTCAAATGATTTAGAGGAACCAACTAACTTTCGGAAATTGATGTGTTGTTGATGATTAAAGAAAGAAATCTTTTTGTTTGATGGATGTCGTTGTTCTCATGCAGTCAGCCATTAATCCATTAATCCGTTGATATCCACTTTGATGTGACGATTTGTCTTTGTTATCAATAATAATAATAAAAAGAGTGGCAGTTGGTGTTTGAGGGCTGTTTTTTTTTGGAGTTCGCTTTATTCAGACGGCAAAAAACTTGTTTCCAGCAGCAGCAGCAAGAATTCGGTTTTTTTTTTGCTGACAATGAGAGAAATTCATCCAAATGTAATGCCATACGCCGCCATTCCATTCCATTCCATCCAATGCCATGCCATTGCAGTACAATCGTGAGAATCTAGGCAAAATTTCGTAGAATTAGCTTGAATCTGTCATAGTTTCATAGAATTAACTTGAAATTTTCATCGAATTAACAAACTAGCTAGAGGTTTAGTTTGAGGCCTCCTCCTACACTTCCCTTCATTTTGAAGCACTTCGGATTGGGAGCTCGGAGTCGGAGCTAGAGCTACTACTAACACTTCAAGATCCGGAGCTGGCAGCTCGGAGCCGGAGCTCTCGTGATTCGAAAACATTTTTACAGCACTGCACTGCACTGAGAGAGAGGAATTTCAAACTTTCAAACGATAGATAGATGTTTCAAAGCGATTTCACACACCATCATCGTTATTAATTAATAAAAATTATCAGTCAAATGTCTCACCACTCTATTCACAACAACAATAGAGTGTGAAAAACAAACAAACAAACGGGTTCTACGAGAAACCAACCGTTTGTTTGTTTGGAAGGTACTAAAAAACAAAAAATTCAGAAAAATCTGAATTTTTCAATCCACAGAGATCCGTATTTTTCATTTCACATTTCACATTTCATTTTTCTGCAAATGCACCACTCTAACGAAAAGAGCACACCACCGATCACGATCACGATCACGATCGAGATGATTGATCAGGATAGATAGAGGATCAACGGGTCTACGAGTTTGTTTGTTAGAAACTGAAAAACCAAAAATTTATTCTGCATTCTGTATCCGTGCACAGTTCCGCATTTTTCATTTCAATCACTGCAGTCAACATCATAATCATCATCCATTAAGATAGAGGATTAAGATAAAGGATTAAGATAGAGGATCAATGAAGCCGAAATAAGAGAGATTTTTAATTTATGTGAAGGTTTAGTGAGACAGATACTAATATTTTCCGGTTGAAATAATAATAATAATAAAATCTACTGCAGATTGATTGATTGATTGATTGATCACAATAATAATGACGATCATAGAATATAATTAATATTGTTAAATGGACAAATTTGAATCCTTTATTCGTATCTCCTCCTCTTACACGCTCATTCCGAGGGATAGAAACGAAAGGAGAAATTTTATTTTTTTAGTGTTTGCCTTTTTTTGCAGTTACATTCTTGGAAGATTGAATTGCTGATGGAACAATACATTCACAAACGCACACAACTCGTTTTCCGAGTTTTGACTCATAACAATCAACGGACGGGTTTAGGTTAAATTGATACATCGATAGATACATCGATAGATTGATTGATTGATAGATATCGCCGCTCGTTCGCTCGATTTTTTTTTGGTCATGTGAAATGAGATTTCAAAAAAATAAAAATTAAGGAAAGAAACAGAAAAATTTAGGTCATCTTCAGAAGCTATCATCATCAGAGGGAGGAGGGAGGAGGAGTGGGGGGATGCATGGATAGACCGCCCATCCAATGCACGGATACAGTTGGGTGGTAGCGATTTGCATGCATATAAAAGCCACAACTTATCTGAGGGAATCGGTGTGCTGCACATTCGGAATTGAATTTGATTCCTTACGACTTGATTGAATTGAATTCGATAGTCTTGCTTGTTGTATCGTCCGTTTTGAAACGGACTGGTTTCTTGCATTCATTCCGGTAAGCTGATCCATTTCGAGCTGATCTGGCTGGCAGGATGGCTGATCCATCTGGCTATGCAGCTGCTGATCAAGGAGGAGATCCATCCCGTCCAGCTGATAACGATAGGCCGGCCCCCAATTCGTTCGTGTCGCCGTTCCCGTCGTCGTCTTCCATCGTGCCTCTTGCCCTTCCTTGCCTGCCTTTACACTAGCCTAGCCTAGTCGTTTGCCTACTGTTTTCATGGATAAACTACCTGAAAACTTAGTTAGATATCTAAAATTGTCTACTGAAATTAATTTAGAGACTAATCGCAGTTTGGAAATTTATTACGTTTTCAATCCGGAATCCGGAACGACAAGCTCGTGTTATCGGTGTTGTTGTGATTCAGGATGACTGAAGACAATCCAAAAGAGCTCCTGATCGAGGCCGAGAGCATGAAGAAGCTCGCCTTCTGCGGCGTTGCCGTCTCGACAGTGGCCACGCTGATCGCCATTATCTGCGTGCCAATGCTGTGCACCTATATGCAGAATGTGCAGTCGAATCTTCAGGATGAGATCAGTTTCTGCCGTACTCGTGCGTTTGCGCTTCGTGGTGAATACACCAAGGTGAGTGTTGGTGGTGGTCCTGAAGTCGAGAGAGTCTCCTGAAGTCTCTAAATCTAAAAATCAGTCACAAATGGCCAGTTTTCCTGGCCGATTTTCACCATTTTCCAGCGAAAATTTTCCATTCGATACCCTCCAAATGGCTCAGGGTCTCTGGTCTTAGGATTGAATCAACCGATAGCTCTCTTTATCTCTTTATCATTTTATCACCCCAAAAGAAGCAGCAACTCCAAGAACTCCACATATGCATGTGCATGTGAAGACAGACGGATTTATCTTAAAAATCCATCTGAAATATATACATAGACATTCAAATGAAGGCGATTTTCTCATTTTCTCAAAAGATAAATTGTAAATTATAAATTGTAATTGTAAATTCACAAATCTGGAATGCTGTTTCGCACAAAAACCACAAATTGGTTTTATAAAAACCATAATTATCTCAAATAAAAGAGGCAGCAGGCTCACATAAAACCAGTTTTCCATGATGATGACTAAGAATAAGACTAGATCTTTATTTATTTCTTAACATAATGATACAATTCAATTTCAATCATATCTCAAAAAAAATTCTGCACATCCTGCAGAACAAGAAGAAGAACCTAACAGTAGCACAATTGAAATCATCAATATCATTTAATTTGTTTTTTTTTTGATGATTCACATAATTTCACTTCTCCTAATGCTCAAATTTCAGGTTTCACTTACAATTCAGGCAATCCGGATTCTATTTTTTTGGAGAGTGGGGGGAGGGTTGCTCTAAAAATAAGCTTGATGTTTGCCGGAGCTTAGAAATTATCGCAAAATTAAAATTTTTTTTGCAGCTGGAACAAGGGCGTGTCAGCCTGAAAGCGCAGCGTGAGCGTGAGAAGCGTCAAGCGACGCACCAATGCTGTAGTTGTGGAATTGGGCCAGCCGGACCACCTGGACCACCGGGTCCAGACGGTGAGGACGGTCGTGACGGTAAACCCGGTAAGCCAGGACCGAACGGACCGGATGCTGAAGAAGGACAGCGGGTGAGTAGAGTTACGATTTATAGCGATTTGAAGTCGAGGTTTGAAGATCCGGAAAGCTTGATGTTACGATGGAATATACAATTTCCATATTCCGCAGCAATTTCCGCAAATCCGTCTGAAAATCTGGAAAAATCTTAGAGAAAAAAACCGTAGAATTATTGTGTCTGAAGACGCGCGCCTGTTTTTTAGCCAACTGAAGCCGATTGGTGCTTCAACTGCCCAGAAGGAC